CTGGAAGACCACCGACGACACCTGGCCGGCATGCATCCGGCACGCCCTGCTCTGCCCCGCTCCTCCAACGCAGGGGAGAGCTGTTAATCACAGGTCGGTGTATGTTTTCAAATGGCAACCCATCTTTTAATGAAGCCCATGGGGAAGTGATGGGGAATGTGCCTGTGATTATCAGGAAGCTTTCCATGGATCCCTCCTCTAAAAACTAGGTGCATCTTATGGTCAGGTGCGTCTTATAGAGCGAAAAATATGGTAGATTCATTTTACTATGCATGAAAACCATGTATACATGAGGGTTGAAATGAACAAACAGCTTTTAAAAATATCAGTAACTGATAATCCTATAAACCTGAAGAATGTTTCATGTATATGACCTAATGTGGTGTTAACTCATTTTAATTCACAAAAGAACACAAGATGAACAATAGCAAAGGGAAAAAGATTTATGATAGGAATTTTTTTTCCAAGTCATGCTACTATACCTCAAAACTGACAAATCTATTCTCCATTAGAGTGAGGAAACTGGAACATGCTAATTTACAGATTTCTGCTCATGATTTTGCTAAAAGAAGAACATCATTAAAAAGAACTGGTCAAGATTTTTAAAAGAAGACAAGTGAGAAAATTGTATGTTCCTAATATATATATGTCAATGTATAAGAGAACTATAGAAAGCAAAGAGAGGAGGTGTTTCCAGACAGGAAGCTCCTCCCTCTCATCTTTTTTTTCTTGACACTACTAATCAAAACACACTGAAATGTTATTCCATTCCTTATGCTTTAATAGAAGTTCTGTGGTAAGCAAAAAGAGATGGCTGTAGCAGTGGGGAAACACTGGAGATTTACAACTAAAAGTATGTGGATGTTCTATGAATAAGGTAGAAACAATCGTGCAATTACCTTTTTCTATAAACACTCAGAAGTTGGTCAGAAACTGTATTGTAGTAAAATATGAAAAATGCAATACCACAGTATATCTTATTCATCCTGTATCTAACAAAGATTCTACCTAAAAATAGAAAGTATGGGTTTCAAACTATGTCAGCCCTTCATCTGTCAAAAGTTCAATAAAAGGTCATTTCTACTAGAATGAGCATAACCAAATCTTCCTCAATTTTCCAGATAAAATGGTGCTTCAATAAAAACAAATCAAGAATCATTAAAAATTATTTTATTATTAAAAGAATTAGTCCCTATATTTCGGAAATTCAACTCCAGAAAGAAAAATTCTATCACCTTGACTCCCTAAGTACATAATATCTATTATAATATAAAAAGAGTACAAGCAGAGCTATAGGCATGATTTATAAATTTAACAAAAAAATTCTTTCCCTCCTGCCAGAGCAGGAAGGAAAATATGAAATTACCTCCAGGAACATAAACATTATATGGATTCATGCCATTCGGACACACACTTTTCCTAACACCTGCTGAGCTTCTGAAGGCACAACATAACAGTTAACTCATTTTTCATAGATACAAAACAGACTACAAGCTTGGTCTAACCTTGGTAATCAGTCAGTATTTATGGATGTTGATCAAAGGGTTCAGTGGCAGGAGATTATCAGTTCATCCCACCTGGCACACACATCCCACCTGTGACTTTTCTGTAGTGCAATGAAAACTTAAGGGAGTAAAACAGTTTCACTCTTTGCCCAGCACTCAGGAGCTGGCAGTCACCAGAAATATTTATACCAATTCTTTTGTGATCTAGCAACTTCATTTCAAGACCCTTGTGGAAATACCATTTGGACAATGTTTTTAGGCTGGACATCTTGAAATAAACCCTTAATCCAGAAAATGTAGTATGAAGTTGGTTCTCTCTTCATACAATAAATATTAACACACTATATATCACCAATGGATGTCCATATGCCTGCATGCATGGGGGCACACACACGTATGGTATACAATGCTGGAGACTTGGTAGAAGTACTGTTGCAAAGCTGAGGCAGACATGCCAATTTTTTTCTGTTCCATCATGATTTCTAGTTACTCTTGTTTTGCAGGTATCCATGATCCACTGATCAATACTTAAAATACTCCAAATTCCAGCAAATTTAAGAATACTGTTAAAGATGTATACATTTTGGTTGTACTTTCATGAGTACATATTCAACAATGGCCATGCTGTGAACTACCCAGCATAGTGGACTTGATATGTATATAACTTATTTATGTTCAGAAAATAAGCACTTCATTTGTGATATTTCACATATAAATAAATAATAGCTATCTACTTAGATATGGAATGATAAATACTGTAAATGAAATAACTAAATACATTTCAATGTAAATAATATAAGGATATCTTCATCCATTCAACAATTATTCTATTAGACATATGAACTACAGAAGCAGCAAGTTCAAACTGACTGGTCTACTGACCATGTGATGGGAAAGGTGGTAAGAGAAACTAGTCCCACTTTTTGAGATGAAAGGCTATTCATCCCTGGGCAAAATTAAAAAAAAAAAAAAAAAAAAAACCCCTCTCAATAGAACCGAACTTAACCCACATAATTCCTTGCAATAGCAACCCTAAATACAGCCTAGCCCACTCCAGACAAAGTCCTGCCAAAGGAAGATAAGTATACCATCCATCTTTTCATCATCCTCAAGTTGATAGCACTGGCATCTCTACAACTGTCCCCAACCTTTATTGTTCAGCTAGAGCTACCCAAGCCCTGAATTCACATAATCCAAGGTTAACAGAACAAACTAAGCTCTGCCTCCATCACTTTCTCTGTTTCTTACAACCCTTCATGCTATGGGGCAACCTAACATCTCGTTATTGAAATGCATTAAAAGCAGGCCTGCATTTACTAAGATTCAAAAGAAAGAAATAGTGGGAGGCATAAGGCTCATCATACCCCTCATTTCTAATAAATAGGAAGGCTTTCTCCCTTTCTCTCCTGTACTTTGTTCTACCTTAGCAAAAGGCAGAATATTTATTTATTTAATTAGAAAATTTCTATGCCGCCCCATTCGCCGAAGCCTTGGGGCGGCTCACAAAACATAAGAATAAGACCACTCTTAGGTAATATACAGAAATAGACACTTGGGAATAGAACTGCAGATAACCTATTTCTCAAAAGTGCAACAAAGAAGACTTCAACAACCCTTCTCCCCACCACCACCACCTTTATGTGGAGGGGGGGAACCTGTGCCTGTCCAGGTGTTTTGGCCTACAACTCCCATCCGTCTTACCCAGAATGGCCAATGGTGATGAAGAAAGTTGTTGGTCTGGAGGGCCATATAATTTGCCCACCCTGCAATGGAAATCTGATCTTAGAGCAAAGAATGCAATACTGTTAATATCTATATTCACATAAAAAGTGATTACCAGTCTACAAATATTACCTTAGGAGCTCTATTATACCTTTGGGATTTCTAATGGATCAATGTGTCTTGTGTACATTTGGTGTATTTTGGAGAATGCTAAATTTAGCTTCCCAGGGCAGGAAGTAAGATTACCTTCTAACACTTGAGGATGGGACTTAGTGTGGGTTTGGAGGCCATGTAATCCCCCAAAGCTATTTGACTTCAGTTGATTCGTTCATTAGTCAGTGCACTACCTGAAATTCATGGCCAACTTTGCTAATAAAAGGAGTATGGCTTTGTGTTCTTCCGAAGGCCGATATGAATAACTATGGGTTTTGTAAATGTTCAAAGAAGAGGAGGAGTTTTTATTTCTTTGATACAACCCCTATAAGTGTCTAGTAAATTCTAATCTTGTTAGGTCTGCATAAATCCGCCTCCATTCCATCTTAAGCTTTTCCATCATGATCATCTTCCCACCTCCATTTTTCTGTTCCTCCCTTAACATATAATCATACAGAAGAATTCTTAACTCAAAAACTCGCTCACTACTTTGTGACAGTAGTTCATCCTGATAATGTCATTGCTCTTCTGTAGCATTAGGATTTATATATATATATGTATGTATGTATGTATGTATGTATTTTCTTAAACAGCCAACCCGTTAGAGTAAACACGACTGAGGCTACACGTTAATGCTGCAGTCCTCTGACAAGATGCGGGGCCTTCTCACAAACCACGACTCATCTGGAGAGCCGCTGTGGGTCAACGTCAGCAGCCTGACGCCGCTCATTCCCGCACTCGCCCCCACGGAACACGCTGGGTGTCGTGCGCGCGTGGGAGGATGCAGACGAGGGAAATTTGAATAAAATGCAAGCCGGGAGAAGAGGCTTGCCAACAACACAGGCGATTTTTTGCGGGGCGGAACAGCCTGCCATAGCCGCGATACTATGGAGAAGTCCTCATTTCCACGTCTCATTCCCACACTGGCCGAGATGCGAGACGCCAGCAGCACGAGTTGGCCAGGCAGGCAGGATGCGCGCTGCGTCGCCTCCCTCACCCCCTTGTTCGGCCACGGTTCCTTATACGCTACAGAAGGGAAGCGAATTTCCCGAGGTGAGCAGCGGCCTGAGCGGACGTGGATCTTCCCCAGAGAACTGCTACTACCCACGCCTCTCCTCTCTGCTCTGGCTGCGGACGACGGCTTGACACCCCTCTCCGCCTTGCGAGGAAGCGGCGGGGGCGAGGCAGCCAGTTCGAGCTACATCACAAGACAGGCCCTGGGCAGGCGCCCGAGCGAGAGGGGAAGGCTGGGCGCCGGGGAAGAATCCGCCTTCGCCTTCCCCTGGGCTGAGAAACAAACGAGAGCCGCCGCCCGGGAGGACGGAGGAACCAGACACCCACCCGCTTCAGGCGCCTGAGGAGGGCTGAAGGGGAAAGGCGGCACCGCTCCGCCACAGAGCTGGCCCTGCGCCGTGACTCCCTCCGCCCCTCTTCACACTCGCTCCGTATCCCCGTCTCCCGCTCCCTTTCCCACACAGCGGAGCTGAGGGACGGGAGGGGAGATTCCGCGGCAAACGCCCTTCCCAACGCACGCCGCAGCCACTGCCTCCCTCGGGACAGCGAAGCCCGCCAAAGCGGAAGTACTCCGCTAACTTCGCCTGCGCCTACAGGGCTCCCTACCTTGCGGGCGTCTTTTCCCTTTCTCCGCCGCTCCTCTTCCCCGTCTCGTCGTTGCCGCGCCACCGTCTCCCTCAGTCTTATTCGAAATTGAAATTCCCTGGCCGGAGCCGCCAAGGCAACACCAGCGCAGGGCTGTCTCCGTCTGGAGCCCCACCCCGAACTCTTGGCCTAGCCCCGCCTTTTAGCCAATCACAGGCTGAGGACCGTTCTCGACCGAGTCCCCTTTGGTTTTGCTCCCCGCCCATCAATCGCAACTCGATCTCTTGCCAGGCTCCTTTCCTCCCGCCCTTTCCAGCCGCGGCCTGCGCATCGCGGGCTGGTGTATTTTGAACTACCGCGCCATCATACGCAGGAGCTCGCCCGTGCCCCGGGATAGGGTCTTCTCTGGTATTAATGAGACACACTGGGAAAGCGAAGTCGATAACAAGGAGTATTAATTGCCTTATATTTGGGCTGGGGCATGGATGAATGAATAGATAGATACAAACAATGAAGGTTCTGTGTGTGTATGTATATTAAATGACTTCGTTCTGGCTTCTTAGCAGAGATACGCCTTTCTTGTAAAATCCATAGCTGAAAAGTACCTTATAATTTACCAAGATAGAATTTCACAAAAATGGGCACCTTCAGTGCTCTAGAATTGATTAGATCTGAATTCTAGATGGCAATTGTGTTTTCTGGAATGGAGATCAGCCATTGCATTTCTACCCAGATTTCTGCACACCTGTCATGACAAATTAATTCAGTTTGTAAATCTCCATTTTGAAACTGGGTCTATCTAAACTGCAGACTGCAAGGCTGAAACAACTGGCCATTTATCTTTGAAGTTTGTGATTTCTTTCCCTCAACCCCTGCTTTTTATACTACCTGATCAGATGAAGAATTGTAGAGAACTCAGCTGTCCAGATTTCTGTGGAATTTTCATTGCACCTAATGTATTGCTAAAATAGATTTTTGTAATTTTTTTGTCTTATGGACCAATGCAGCTTGCTTCCCTTATAGGTCCTTGAAAGTCTAAATCTGAGAATATTCTGAAAAGATTACAAATTCCTTCTATTTGGATAGACACTCAGTGGTGGCTGTGCTGAACAGGGATATGTGATACTCAACTTTACAGAATTGGTTTTAAATAACATTAGTTATCCTATACATTTAGTGAGAACACAAATTAAATATAAATAAATTATATGGTATGAGAGAAGGGGATAAAGGAAATCATCATGGCAGCTTTTAGAGCTAATGGGCTTCAGTGGTGACCTCCAAAATCTCATTTCAGGTCAGGAAATAATATCAAGACCTTTGAAACACTGTATGCTATCAAAAATGTGATTGTAATGTGAACAGTTTCCACCCACCAACTTGCAGTGTAAATCAGATGAGGCTTAGGGAAGGGGAAGAGAGATTAAAAACAGGATGTGATACACTTAAAAAAAGATATCAGCTAGGAAAAACATGAAAAAGGGTTTTCTCTAGGAGGCCAATATGTTGTTGGGATTTTTTTAAATGATTCTTGGTCCTTTGGATTAGCCCTCTTTCCCTTCACTTTGTAGTTACAGAGCAAATTACAGTTGCAGTGGAGTTCCCTCTGGAAGAGTGCACACTCCAAAGCCATTAATCTTCTGGCTGATAAATGGAGACAGGTTGTCCTTCCATCCATTTCCGTTTAGCTACAAAATTGTGTTATGAAACGTCCCTTATCCTTCACTGGAGCCAGTATCCCAGCAATCCCATGATTTGCAGGGATATACACAGCATATACATTCCAGTTTCAAAAAACAACTTATAAATGCAGTGTTTGTAGGCTACAAGTGTGACATCCAAATTCCAATACTATGGACACTGTAATGATTTAAAGTGCCATGAGACTGTGTTCCTTTAAATGTTGGTCAGTTTCAGAAGGGGTGGGGGGGGGTAAAAGAAGGCAATGAGTGACTTGATTGGTTGGTGACTGAGAGTGCATGGGCGGAGCTTGGAAGTGTGTGAGGACAAAGAAATAGTTACTTTCAGACAACCAGTTGTAGGCTGTCAGAGTCGTGGTCAGTCATCAGTCTGTCAGCAGTTAACAGACAACAGTTGTGGTTTGTCAGATGTCTATTGCATCTGCAGAGGCAGCCTTCTCATTAGGATCCTAGTTAGTGCTGTGAAAAACATTTAAGATTTTAAAGAAGGAAGTAGAATACTTGGAGGACACATTAGTGATTAGGGAGAGCCAAAACTGAATATTGTCAAATATTATAAGGGGGTAAGAGATAGATGCTGACAGAAACCTGCGTACAGAAGAGAAAGGAGGGTCTGTGTACAAGGAATGTGAAAGGAAACAGTGATATACCTCAGTGAGATGTTATTATGCATTTTTTTTTACTAAAACAAGTTACAGAACATTTTGAAATCAATATGCTTCTTGTACAAATAAAATTTTATTTTGTTTATTGTTAACTCATCATCATAGGCTGTTTGAGTATCCGCATCTCATCTTCAAGATTATATAGCCCAAAGAAGGAACCTTACAGCTTGGGCACAATACTGTGGGAGGTTAATTAATAAGACTGGAATTAAATTCCTAGTTGCAGTGATATATACACAGAGAAAGAAAGGAAGACAGACCACATGCAAACAAGGAAACAAGTACTTGTGACAGACACCAAAACTAATACTCCAGTCCCCTGAAAGTCAGAAAAGAAGCAGCCATCAAGCAACTGGTGTTTGTCAAGGAAAGACATGGAAATAAAATGACCATTCCAGTCACCAACTGTTATTCATCTGCTCTTCAGTTCTGTTTGTTCTCACTTGCTATTGGGTGTTTGTAACTTGTCCACTATGCCCATCACTAGAACTCTCATCCCCAATTTCCACTTGGGTGCTCTTAGCTCTCAGGATCACATATGATCTTGCAAATTGCCAAGAACTTAGCCAAGTTTTCCCCTCCAATTCTTACATGGAAGCATTCCCCTCTAATTCTTACATGGAAACTCAAGGATCTTATAGATGTATATTCATTTAAAGTGAAAACATCACTTAAGAAGTTAAAACATCAAATCACGGTGTTTGCAAATGATTACTTCTTGCATATATGATCAAGTGTATGCTTTACTGAATGTCAGTTACCAATTTTCAGTCCAAAACGTTGATTACAATTTTCTGCACCAGGGCTACGTATTTGGAGCTTCAGGGGATGGGGAAGTGTTTTGTGACAAAATTGCAAAGCAATATGGCTTGAACCCATCATCACAATGTGAACACTTACATTGTCCCCCTATCAGAGATACAGAATGTTTGAAGCCAGGTTGACCTAATACATGAAACATTTATGTGGATTTGTATTATTAAAACATGTATTTTTGGTGTTTTAAAGTTCAGGCCTGGTTTCTGTCTTGCTGAAAGTACACAAATCATATACATACAACCAATTATGAAATAAATATACAACAGGACCCCCATATCCACTCAGTCCGTTACCGCATTTTCAGTTAGCCACGGTTGATGTTGGCCTGGGAGAAAAGTCATAAAGTGCTTCTTGCAAGTGAAAATTCTTGATTGAATAGGGAAAGGAAAAAAAAACATATACTGAGGTAACAACAAATGAAATTGTGAAAAAAGAAATACATATTTACTATAATATAGTGTTCGCTATTATCTGTAGTTTCAGGCATCCGCTGTGGAACTGATCACACAGATATGGGAGTCCTGCTGTATATATGTAGAAGCATGGTCAGCAGATAATACTAAGAATAAAAGGAGACAGGATAGTTCCATTATAGAGTAATATTAATTGAAGTAATTCAACCCCCGCCTTTTAAAGTCATTGACACCACAGCCCAAATTGTAGCTAGGCAACTCTTGTTCCATTTGAGCTTTATAAAGCTCTTTAGCAAAAGTCAAAATCACCCTAATTATATTTAAATGAAGATTAATACAGACTAGTCAAGAGCTAATTCAATTTCATCTTTCCCTTTGGCTGGTGGGATATGATGATGGGTCCTGAGAAATAATTAAATTTCGCACAGTCAGTCTTGAAATTGAATTGAGTGACACTGCCTGCTGTGCTTTGCACATTAAGCCCTAGTTTAACTGAAACATTATTGCACATTTCAATTGTACAAGGCGAAAGCAATTATTCCTGAATAGCTCGCCTACAGTAACACTTGGCACAGTTTGTACTTGTGGTTGTGTCAACACAGCCTATGTGTTTTGTGTCCACATTTCTGTTTTCCCCAGGGCTTAAAGAAGCTCAAGAAGAATGGCAAGAATGTTCTCCAACTCCAACCCTGATTTTCTCGAGAAGCAGCAAAAACTTGTTTCTCATCTTGTGATCGGGAATTTCTGATCATACTTTGGAAACAAATAGCAGATGGACCTGTTCCTCCTCTAGCAACTTCGCCGTGCAGCTGCAGCTGATGTTTTTAATGGCAATGGCCTGAGCATTTTAATTGGCAGGGTATTATAAACAACTGGAGCTGGAGAGCCTTTTCTCAATTAGGCCTCCCAAAGATACTGACACAAGCAAGATGTTTTTCTGAATTAGCCAAGACCAAAAATAAAAAATAATACTTTATAATTTCTTTTTCTTCCTTTCTCTACCAACCGTTTTTCTCATCTGTTACTGAATCTTGGGCCCCAGCATTCCTTCTACATCCAGCAACATATTTTGACTTCTGATGCTTTTTAACACCATTTGTCTCAGCTGTGACAGTGACCCAGTGACATGGGCTTATGTAAAGTGAAATGAAAACCACAATAGAAGTGCAAACAGTCTAACTTTCGACAATGTTGGCATAAGCAACAATGATGTCTCCTGGCTCTTCCACAGCATTCATTTTTGCTTTGATAAAGAGGAATTCATGGGTTGTTAGAAAGTTGTGGGGAGAGGGCTGTTTCTTCCTCACAACCCTCAAGATAATTTTGTTTTCAAGCTTCAGATCTAGAAAATGGTTGTCTGGATATAGTTCCACTGATACGGTGTGACTGATACATATTAGGAATAATAATCTTAACTGATCTTGGGCTATGAAATCCAATTGATCTTTTATGGACACAAACATTTAAAGTCAGCATCTATAGCTCTAAAAATATTTTTATGTGTTCTTGAGTAGCAGTTGAATTTTATCATCTGCTTTCTGAAATAGGTCCCAAGCTATTG